GGTGTGAGGTAGGGGGGGGGGGGGGGGGCATCAAGTGGGGGCATCCTCCATGCTGCTGTGGCTAGCGAGTATATTCACTGGGGTGCAGCAGCCCCATCATCTGCAGGCACCGGGGGACTTGCTATCAGGGCTGGCCAGGTCCTTTTTTTAATCTCTCATGGCAGCTGCTTAATTTGCAACTTGACTCTTGGTTTCCTTCTATTTTCCTTCCAGCCACCAGGCCCAGACGACATGCTGGGACCATCCAAAGATGACAGAGTTGTACCAGACGCTGGGTAAGGAGGCTGACGCAAACCCATTCAAGTACCATCCACCTTTTCACAGCATGGGGGTGCTATGTGAGATCCTCCCAGCCCACCTGCTCCTCTCTGCAGCACAGGGCCCCCCAGAACAATGGCGTGTGACCCTCTGCTGGGGTCTGCACCTCCTCCACCCGCATGCACTCTGCTTCTGCTGTGGGGCTGGTGTCTGGGAACTGCAACTGTTGATTCCTGCCCTGGAGATAAGGATGTCAAGCTATGGTTTTATTCTTTTCCTGTCTTATTGCAGCGGATTTGAACAACATCAAGTTCTCAGCATATCGGACAGCTATGAAACTACGACGTGTGCAAAAAGCCCTGCGATGTGAGTGCGGGAAGTATTTCCCTCCTGCTGGGTCTCGCTTGACAATGGCATTAAACTAACACAAGCTTTTATCAGCACATCAAAGACAGGAGCCCACCAGGGGACAGGTAGCTGAGGCGAGAAGCACTGGGAAGATAAGCCTGTGGCTGGAAAGCTGAGTAAATCCAGCAGCAAGGTGTCTGTGTCAAGGCCTTTCTTTGCAAGCTTAGGGTGGAAATGCCTCAAGGGCAGGTGTTAGTGAAAGGGATTTGAGAACAAAGTGGCCCAGCTCATACAAGAGCTCCAAGGGAGCCTGGAGAAGCTGTGGATGTAACCGAGAGCAGAAACCAGCATCACAGGCAGGGGCAGAGAGCACTCCACTACTTAAAGAGGAGGAAGGGAGCCAATAAACCTGACTTCTGCACTGTTGGTAAAACTCCACTTAAAAGGAGAATTAATAGCCAGGTGAATATGATGCAATAGGAGTTCAAAACGATGTGTGGCTTTCCAAGAGGCAGCTGCTCCTTGGAAACAGCAGAAGAGTTTCTGGGGGAATTGGTGAGCAACCAGATGGGAATCTGATAGATGTGGCACCCTCAGCTGCTGGAGAGCTTTAGGCAAGGCCTCTCACCTAAGGCTCTGTCAAAATTAAACAGTAGTAGGATGAGGGAAAACCCTCTCTGCAATTATTCATTCGGGGAGAGATACAGCCAGGTGGCAGTGGGGTCCCAGGCAAGACCTGTGCTCCTTGACATCTTGTGAAGGGCCTGGAAGAAGGCAATGAGTGAAGGCTGCAGAGTAGTTTCCTGATGCTGTGGCAACCAGGCTGACCCATACCCAGGCACATTCAGGGCTGTTGTAGTATAAATGGGGTAGAGCAGCAGTTAGCTTTTGCCACTGTGCAAAGATGTCCATGCAGCAGTGGCCACAGAAACACCAGGCATGATGAAGAAAAGGGCAGAAAGCAAAGCAGAGCCTTTCTGTGTGCTGCTTGTGCGTCTTTGGTTGCCCATCTCTTGCATCTCACATGCTGTGCTGGTGCCTTCTTCCCAGCCCAGAAATGATGTGGAAAAATGTGAATAAGTGCTCCTCATTCAAGTCGTACTTGAGAAGGGCAAGGAGGCTGCCGAGGCAGTTTCCCCATGATGAAAGGTTTAGTGGAGTGAGTGGCCATGTAGGAAAGAGGCAGTGTGGGACACGTCAGAGCCATATGCAGTAAGTTGACAGTGTGGACACAAGGGTGAGCAGGAGTGGTACTCACTGGTGTGTGAACTGGGGGTCCCCAGTGCAACTGTTAGCAGCTTTGACAGGAGAAGAGAGGACTCTTCCACAGAGTGAAGTTACAGTGTGGAAATGGCACATGATCCCCTGGGCATTGAGAGCATAAATCATCTCAGAAATGGAAAGACTTTCAGGAAAGAAAAATTGCTGGCTGCTAAAGCCATACAATCAGCAGCCATAGATATCTGAAAACAGGGTAGCCAGAGTAGTTGACACTGTCCTAGCCCTCTTTTTTGGTTTGTGCCTCAACACCTACTGCTGGTCAGAGCTGGATACAGGACTGCTTCACCTCTGGGCAGCTGCTCGTAGGGTCTATGTGGCTCTGTGCCCTCTCACCTCCCCACTCCAGCCTCACAGGGAACCTGGCATGTGCAGAGGTCAGGCTCTGAGCACCTGTGGCTCCACACAGAGCCTTTCATGGGTAGTGTTTTCATGGCCATGGCTGGCCACAGCAACAGGGAAGGAAGGTCACACATAATGGTGGCTCAAGTTGACTATAGGTGCAGATGTGGGTATTTTGGGAGGGGTTTATGGATGGGAGAGAAATTCTGGGAGCTGTGCCCATCCTGCCAGCATCTTCCCCACCACAGTGGGGCTGAGACTACCCCACATCAGGGCAGGGCTGTGTCTCCCTCCTCTTGGTTCTCACCTCTCCCATTTTCCTCTCTGCCTCTGATCCTTCTGCCTGTGCTTTTTGCACAGTGGACATGGTGACCCTGGCTACAGCCTTGGAAATCTTCAATGAGCATGACCTCCAACCCAGTGACCGGGCGATGGACGTGGTGGAGGTCATCCACTGCCTGACCACCCTCTACGAGAGGCTGGAGGAGGAGCGGGGCATCCTGGTGAATGTGCCGCTCTGTGTGGACATGAGCCTCAACTGGCTGCTGAATGTCTTTGACAGGTACCCGTCCCTCAGTGTCCTCCTGAGCTGTGGGGCTGCCATGCTTGGAAAGAAACCTCCATTCTGCTGTTCCAGCTGGCAGCACTGCAAAAAGGTCCTGGCCACTAGCAAGGGGGCTGACTGGCATGGGCTTGCCTTGCTGGCCCCTCTGCATAAAAAAAAAAATTCAGAACATTTGCAAATCTGTGTAATATCTCACCTTGCAGTGGCCGCAGTGGGAAGATGAGGGCTCTCTCCTTCAAGACGGGCATTGCATGTCTGTGCGGGACAGAGGTCAAGGAGAAGTTTCAGTGTGAGTCTCCCATCCCCTTCCGTCAGGGCCTGCTGTGAAGTAACCTGGGGAAAGTGGGAGAGCTTTTGCTTCCTGGCTTAGCCCTTCTTTGCCCAGAAAGAGCAGAGAAACAGTTTCCTGCAGTGACTAATCTGTTTGCATCACCACCTTTCCCTCCCCAAGCCTACACCACTTAAATTAGGAGGCATTTTTGCAGACTGACTAGTGCTGCAGTGATCTTGCTTGCATGGCACTATAAGGAACAGTGCAGAAAAGGCAAACAGGCAACAGTTATCCAGTGCTTTCCAGAAGTGAAAAACCTGGGGGTGCATGGCTGGGAAGCAGGTTTCAGACAAATTAAAGGAAGCCCCTTTCCTCACTGCATTTTAACCATGGTACTCTCTGCCATGCGATACTGCAGAGGGGTTAGCATAGGAAGCACCAACAGGTTAAATAAAAGGATTGGGCAGATTCATAGATGACAGGCTAGCTGTGGCTGTTAAAGAAGTGATGTATGTAAATTCTGTTTCAAGAAGACTCTAAACTCCTGATTATTGGGAGCTGGAAGAATACTGGTAAAGGTTATTTAATCATAGCTCAGTTTTCCCTTCTTATTTGAGCTCCCTGCCAGAGACAGGTGGATCCCTGCTCTGATCCACACACCACTCTCCCATGCCTGCATCCTGCCCAGTGTGTCAGGACATCAGTCATGTCTCTAACAGGGCTGTGTGTCCATCCTGCCAGCAGATCTCTTCAGCCAAGTGGCGAATGCCGGGGGACTGTGTGACCAGCGGCACCTTGGTGTCCTGCTCCACGAGGCCATCCAGGTCCCTCGCCAGCTGGGGGAGGTGGCAGCATTCGGGGGCAGCAACGTGGAGCCCAGCATCCGCAGCTGCTTCCGCTTTGTGAGTAGGGTGCCATGGCCTGTGCCATCCCCGCTGCAGCAGCCATGCTGGGGAGAGACTCCTGGAGGTGGCAAGGAGCTTGTACCCCATCACAGCTAGGTCCCAGCTCTGAGCAACCCTTTCCTCTCCTCTCCCCAGAGCAATGGGAAGCCTACCATTGAGGCATCCCAGTTCCTGGAGTGGGCCAACCTGGAGCCGCAGTCCATGGTGTGGCTGGCCGTGCTGCACCGGGTGACCGTGGCTGAGCAGGTGAAGCACCAGACCAAGTGCTCCATCTGTCGACAGTGCCCCATCAAGGGCTTCAGGTAAGAGTTATGATATGGGACATTAGTCCCCAAGGGAAGTGCATGGTGTTCTGCAGGAGGGACCTATATTTGCTCTGTGCTATTGAGGGAACGGAGAGCTCTGCAGCAGCAGTGTTTCAGGCAGGTCAGACCAGGTGCCAGCAGAGAGGAAGGAGCAGAATGCTTTTCTGGGGACTTCAGCCATCAGCACTGTGGATTCAGTGGGGTGCAAGAGCAACACAGACCACCTCTGTCCCCTGCTCAGCTCTCCTTGGGCTCCAAAATGATGTAGTTTTGCTGACTCTCACTGTCTCCCTATGGCCTCTTGATCTCTCCAGGTATAGGAGCCTGAGGCAGTTCAATGTGGATATCTGCCAGACTTGCTTCCTCACTGGGCGAGCCACCAAGGGCAACAAGCTGCACTACCCCATCATGGAGTACTACACCCCGGTATGGAACTGAGTTGGACTGGGAGGGTCTTGGCTCAGAGCAGGTCCCCACTGACAGCAGCTGCCTTGCAATGTTTAGGCTGATGCAGCCCCAGAAGTGGATCCCTTGTATGTTTTTGTTCCCCTCCATGTGCTGGAGGTTGCCTGTGCCCCTGCTATTCTGGGGATCATGGTAAACAGGATACATGGCATCCATTGGTGCCCAGCTTGGCTTTTGCCAGGCCCTGTGACTGGCTGACAGAGCTGCTGTGTGCCCTCCTTGCTTCCTCAGTGTCCTGGTTTTCAGCTGGGATAGAGTTAATTTTCACCAGAAGCTGGGACAGGACACAGCCAGGACAGGTGACCCAAACTAGCCAAAGGGGTATTCCATACCATGTGATGTCATGCTCAGCATAGAATGAGGGCTAGTCGGGGAGGGGCGGCACAGCTCCAGGACTGTGGCTCGGGGACAGTCTGGCTTCGGGACAGTCATTGGGCGAGAAACTGCATTGTGTATCACCAGTTGTGTATATTCTAAGTACTGTTATTGTTGTTTTCCCTCTCCCTTTGCTGTCCCAGTAAGCTGTCCTTATCCCACCCCACAAGGTTTTTTGCCTTTTCCTTCCCATTCTCCTCCCCATCCTGCCAGGGAGGGGCAGAGAGTGAGTGGCCACATGGTGCTCAGCTGCCAGCAGGGGCTGAAGCACAACACTCAGTTCTCAGCCTCTTCCTCTGTGGAGCTCATGCCCAGCCTGAAGGGACTTGTTTCCTGGAGATGCTGACCTGTGGTCTCCCACTGTTCATTAAGCAGCACCTTGGTAATGTTTGTGTGTGTGCAGACCACATCCAGTGAGAACATGAGAGACTTTGCCACAACACTGAAGAACAAGTTTCGGTCCAAGCAGTACTTCAGCAAGCACCCGCAGAGAGGTTACCTGCCCGTCCAGTCCATACTCGAGGCTGACTTCTCTGAGACGTGAGTTGGCTGGGCCCTGGGCTGTGCCTTTCGGCTCTGCCTGATATGTGGGCTCCATGGATGGAAGCAACGTCTCAGCTGCAAGACAGGGCTCCAGTGGGAGGGCTGAAAGGGGCACATGCTCTGGGGGTGATACAGCACCTAGTTCTTGGAGAAGCAGATATTTCAGTCTCCCTCTCCAGCCTGTCCCTGGCTCTTCTCAGCCCAGGTGAGACCAGGGCAGCCTCTCCAAGCCCTAGCTTTGAGTGAGGACTGCCAAGCCTTGCTGACCATTATGTGTCTCTTCCAGACCAGCAACCTCCCCGATGTTACCACATGCTGACACCCACTCCCGGATCGAGCACTTTGCCAGCAGGTATCACCACTGGGCGCTGCTGTCATGCCAGGGCATTGAACATGACTCCGATGGGTGTGGAGGGGTTTGGGGACAGATGCATGGGGAGCTCCTGCTGCCTGTGGCCCCCTCCATGCTTCCTAGCATGCTATCTGGCAGGCAGAGGCTCGCTGCAGTGGCTCAGGCTGCAGTGCTGTTGGGAAGGCCTGTGCCACTTTGCTCCTGCCTGGGACATGGCTGCCATGCAAATTGGCAGCAAACGCCATGCATTTGACAGCAGATGTTTTACTAATGAAGCAGCCTCCATGTACCCTCCTTTGCTTCCCAGTATGAGCTGCTGGTTGGATTCTCACCAGGCAGATCCCTCAATGTCTTGCTCTGCCTGTGTGCTCACCAGTGCTGCTTGCATGCTTCCCATTGCTGCTGCATTATGGTTTGTAATGCCTCTGCCCTCACCACAGGTCCAGACAGAGTGAGGACCTGAGGAGCACGGGGAGCCTGTAGCTCAGGCTGGAGCTGGTACACTTTCACTGCTTTGCTTATGTGAGAGGAGGCTGAGCCGGCTGCATGGCAGCAGCTCTTTATTCCAGAGACTGTGACCCCAGAGCAGCAGTGTCTTTTGTTTTCTTAAAAGGCTAAACTCTCTAGAACCTGTAAAGAGGGGCAGACTGGTGCAGGCCAGCTGGGAGACACTGCCAGAGAAGGGTCTTGCAGAGGCTGTTGTAAGCAGGGTGCACTGAGCAGACATTCGGGGTGTCTCTGACCATATCTCAACCTGTTTCTCTTTCCTCCAGGCTTGCAGAGATGGAAAGCCAGAACTGTTCCTTCTTCAATGACAGCCTGTCCCCTGACGATAGCCTGTGAGTTCTGCCTTCTTTCCCTTCTTCTCACGTCCTGCTGAGTCAGGGCTCCTGTGGCTCCATCCTGCCTAGCCAAGGCACAAAAATGTTTTCCTTCCCAGCTACTTTGACTCTGAGGCTCTTGGGCACCCCCACCTACCCAGGGGTGCTAAGCCACTTCTGAGCTCTGGACCTGGAGCAATCAGAATGATCTGTCTTATGAAACCACCTCCCTCCAGGCTGTCCTTCCCCAAGAGCGCACAAATGCCATGATACTGATGTTCCTCACTAAGGTATTTCTCAATCATCTGCTGCGACAGGGATGAAGACCAGTACCTGCTGCGCCATTCCAGCCCCATCACCGACAGAGAGCCTGGGGGCAGCCAGCAGGTTCCAGGAAGCCCCAACATGGATGACAAGGGAGAGCTGGAGCGAATCCTGGCCCACTTAGAGGATGAAAACAGGTGGGAGCATGGGCAACTCTGAAAGTGGGGTTTATAGCCTAAAGAGAAAGGACTGGAGAAGTCTGGCAGAGGTCAGAATGGAGTCAGGGAACAGCTGCTGGAGCTGGAGGTGGGGATCAGAGGAGCTGAGTGGGCTGGTTTGGATGGTATCTAGGCTGAGCCCTAAAACCTTCATGGGAGCACGCAGTGAGTTCGTGCTCTTGAAGGAAGGGAGAAGCCTCTGTTCCCCAAAATGTTCCTGTCCCCATCCCCAGAACCTGTTCCTCTCCTGAACCCCAAACTGGGGGCACTGCTATCTCTCTTGTCCCTGAGCCCCTTGTGAACAGTGTTGGTGCTGCTCTGGGCCATGTGAGGTGAGGCTGTAGGCAGGGCAGATCAGCTCAGGAGGAGGTGATGCTCTCCCTGCCCTTGTTCTCAGTCTTGTTTCGGTCTTGTCTCAGCAGCTGCATATCTTTTTGTAAACTGTCCGAGTGGGGTAGAGCTGCAGGCAGGTTACCCTGCAGTGCAGGGACAAAGTCCAGGCAAAGTCTCCAGGGGTGTTTTGTCTCTGAGTCATGGGCCATCCCCAGTGCACAGCTGTCAGGTGTTCGAGCAGTCTCCAGAAAGGAGAGCAGTGATGCTGACCTCTGCTATCTTGCAGGATCCTACAGGGAGAACTGAGACGTTTGAAATGGCAGCATGATGAGGCAGTGGAGTCTCCAACCTTGGCTACAGGGTCCCCTGAATCAGTGCAGGACTCGCATAATGACGAGCTCCTGGCAGAAGCACGAATCCTCCGGCAGCACAAGAGCCGCCTGGAGGCCCGCATGCAGATCCTGGAGGACCACAACAAGCAGCTGGAGTCCCAGCTGCACCGGCTGAGGGAGCTGTTGCTGCAGGTACTCTCAGAACAAGGATCCAGAGAAGCCCATCCGTGGGGTGGGTTTGCCATAACAGAGCTGGGGCAGTGGCAGACAGGGATGGTCAGAAGGTGGGGAGGACAAGGACAGAGGATCGTGACAACCCCTCTTCTCTCTGCAGCCTC